AGAGAGAGAGAGAGAGAGAGAGAGAGAGAGAGAGAGAGAGAGAGAGAAAGGCAGAAAAATGCCATTGACAAAGCAACAAATTGAAAGATGTTTCAGTAACTTTTCATTATTGGTTGGTATTGTTTTCTGGTTCGTTGCATGGGCTCAAGTGTCAAAGTGACATGCATACGAGCCTAAACGATGACAATAACAGAGAAAACGAAGTCGGGGCGAAAAAAAGAGAAGAAAATAGAACGGTATTATGCCGATGGGACAATGGTGTGCATATCTACAAGTTGGCATATTATTGTTCTTCTGCACACTTTTCGGTAACTGATGTCCGGAGGTAGTGGTGGTGGTGGTGGCAGAGGAACGTGAACGAGAGTCGAGTGGCTAAATAACAAATAACACGCTTCGATGAAATATTATATGGTACCAATGACATGGATGCTGTGTAACACTAGATATTTTACACCAAATGCTCGTCTTTAGTTTACACGTCAGACATTTCGCTCAAACATATAATAAATTAATTCCGGGAATCATATTGTTTTCATATGCCGGCCATTTTTTCGTTTTTTTTTTTCGATGAAACCATAGCTCAGGTCTTGAGTCATGGTTGCACAGCCAACCTAATGAAAAATCACAGCTAAACCAAATAAGCATGGACACGACCAGAAACGAGAAAAAAAACATATCCATTTTGTGGCTGGCTAAATTGATTGGTGTGATATTGTTTTATTCCAGCAATGAGAACAAAGCCACGCGCAGCCTCTTTTTTGGTTTTTTTTTCTTTTCGTGTATGGTGTACGTTGTATTCATTCTTTGTTTTTGTTGCTGCTGCGACCGCCGCCAACAACACCGTCGCCAGTTTTTTGTGTTGTGTTGCCGGTGTATTTCAATTTTTCGTGTGGTTCACGAAATTATCACCCAATCGGCGAATACACACACGCACAGAAAAAATAGACCGAATCGGCAGAGGAAATAATTTCGTTACAGTGATGACCAAACCAAATATTTGGTTTACGATGATAAACAGCATACATAAATAGTCTCACTCTGGGATACCGACTGCCCGAAGTGGTGTCATTCTAATTCGGAAAAGTTGAAAAAGAAGTAGGGGAGGAGGATGCATTACGCACACTAACATTTCCCAAATAAAAAAACACACTGGACAAAGAAAGAAGAAGAAAACAGCTTCACCGTCATCGATACCGGCACCGACACCCGAACATCAAGCTCAAAAGAGCAAATGGTGGTTTTATAAAAGGTAGTCTTTGTTGAAAGAGTATACATTTCATTCGACGTTCAAATTTCCTCGCACATCCACCGAAGTTCAATTACGCCACATGGGCCAGCAACGAAACAATCATTTTGTGTTTCAACTCTGAAACTGATACAATCTGCGCGCCGTTTTTCGTTCGTGTTTGTAGTGTGATTTTGTATATACATGTATGTGATCGGATCTGACATACACACACACACACTCTCTCTCTCTCTCTCTTTCTTTCTTCTCCTACGTTCGCCTCACCATCATCAGCCGGGATGAAATGACTCCGATATCGAACAATACCCCGGTGATCCATCAACGTCAAATTGTTATGTGCTCCGTCTATATCCACCAAATAAAGGAAGCGTACGGTGAAAACGATAAATTCAAAATCAGTTCTGTTATAGTTCACGTGTTCGATGGAATTCAAATGCAATTAGATGAATGGCGCGCACACACATACCCACACATGCAGCAATGCCGATGTCCAATCGAAAGGTGCGCTCCGAGTCAACAGTAACCCAACGTGATGTAGATTGATTAAAAAGCAAATGTGATGTATCCATTACACTAAAATACCGGCCAAATTGTGTGACTATATGATTTTGCGCCATTTTGGAAAATCAATCTGCCGGAATAAAACAAAAAAAAAACTGAGGAAGAGAGAAAGAAAGAAAGAAAAAACAAGCACAAACAAACTTTGGCCCCATACTTTTTCGTTTCTTTGCCCAGTGATTTGGCTCGATTTTTTTCTATTATTCTCTAAAAATAAATATAATTAATGGATTGACACTATGCGACGAACTGAAAATGATGGGAGAGAGAGCAACATAGACCAAGAGACAATATTCGCTCAAAACATCCAAAGAAGGGTGTGATTTTTTTTATTGAACACTGCTGGCTGCTTCGATAACGACTGAACATCGCTCTCACATCTACTCTATGTCTTTTGCTCGCGCTGATGTTCTCGTTTAGTACCACTTCAGGTATCGCAAATCATTCAAGGGGTTTTCTATCAATTATAATTCTCTCTTTTTTTGATTGCTCAATTCAATTTATTCAGCTTGTAAAATAGGCAACATAAGCATCTCGAAAATGTAGCAAATTGAACGAAAAAAAGTACACTCTCTCGCACATAACAGACAGAACGAAACAGAAATACTTGTTGTGATTGCACTAATTGCTATTGAAAATAATGAAAAAAATCATCCGAAGATGAGAAAAATCCTTCAGCCAGTGGCACACGGACAAAATGCTAATTGGCACAAAACCATCAATGAATTGGATGTAGAACGTGCACCGTTCGCTATTTTAATGCATGTTTATCTGTTTACATGCTCTCTCTCTATCTATCTCATTCGTTCTTGGAATATGTAATCTGCTTTGTGTTCCGTTAAGTAAGCATTGTTTCGTCTCAATTGTGGGTGAGCTAGATCGCGAGTGCGCGAGTGAAGGAGAAGAGGGAGAAACTGAAGGTTTTCGACATCGCGGATAAGTTCAGAAGCGAGATGCAATGTGAACCATTCAATTATCTGCAATCAGAACTTGCACGAAATCCGTTGCTATGCAGAAGTGGTGAGAATTTTCAGTTCACCTCACCATATATCTTTGACGTTAAAAACAAACGAAAAAGGCAAACACAAGACGACGAGAGTCACCGTGAAATGCCATTGGGCCGCGATGAAGGAGCATAAGTAGCTCAAATGATTATTTTATTTCGTTTGATGCACCAAAACATTTGAGTAAATAAGAAATGATTTTGAACCCAAATTGACTGTGCTCAAGCATATATGGCAACAATTTCGTATGTTACATTGTGATTTGGATTTATCGAAAAAGAGTCATAATACACAATCAAGGGTTGTTGAAAAAATTGACATATCAATTTGTTTGGAAGACATTTTATTTTTCTCGTCTACACGCATTTGTTTGCCATGAGAACAATATCGAAGTGGGATATTCGGATCTGACTGAGATTATACCAGGTCGACGCACACGGCACTGGTGAACATTTCACAACAACGCAAAAACACAATATTTTTCTTTTATTCTATTGTAATTTCATTACAATGTAGTAACTATTAATAATAATGCCAACTAAACAATCCTTGGAACCGCCAACGTTCAGAGCTATTTCTGTACCATGAACACTTTCGTGGCCGATTAATTAAAACAGTGCACAGTAGCGAATGTTACAAGTTATGTGTGTTTTTGAGATGGATGCAAAGACAACGATGATAAAAGCTAATAAATACAATAAGAACAACAGAACATTGAGATCGAAACGAGAGACATAGAGGGTGTACGAGAGCGCACGCGACAAATAGAGAGTATGAGATTTGAATCTTGTAGATTATGGAATAACAAAAATGAACGGTATGACGAGCGCACAGATTGAAATTAAGACGAAACAATTAAACGAAAGAAAAATAAAAGAAAAACAACACGAACAATTGTTATGGGGATGTTGTGGATGTGCAAGAGAGGAAAGCGCGCGTGCTGGCTGAAGTACTTAACATTTTCATTGTTAGCGCGCTAAATGCACATTTCTGCGAATTCAAGCAGAAATATAAGAATCTTAATCTGCCACTTGGGTGTTTTGAACATTAATGAGCTTAATTAGTAAAATTGCAATTCATCTATGAGACTTGGATTAGGATCAGGATCGGTGTGTGTGTGTATCATTGTACGGGGTGATGCTCTTTGTTCGCCGACTCCAATGGAGCGAGTGTGTCGTTTTTATATGTTTCGAATATTACCACCTTGTTATTTGGTTTTGTTTTTCTTTTCTTTTTTTGCGTTCGTCGCGAGCGCACCTTCTTTGTCGCTCGTTCGGCATTCGTGCATTCTGTGCATCTCACCATTAAAAGAGAAATGGAATCACATCGTTATCCATCGATGAAAATGATCTTACATTGATTATAATTTTGTATAAAAATACTTTCACTAATTCGCTTTTCAATTGTTTTTGTATCGTATATTCTCTGCTTATCGCCTTATTCTCATCATTGTTTCTTTCCATTTTTCTCGCTTTTTACAGTGGATTTGCTGCAGATGCTTGAGTTCAATGTATCGGTTCGATTTCCTGCCGCTTCGTTGTTTACCGTCATTTTGGCCTTATGTGGTAAGTGTCTTTGTCAAGATTTCAGATTTTTTTTCCTCTATTCATTTGAAACGAGATAATAAGCATCGCAAATATAAACATCTTGAGTTATAAAAGTTGTTTGTTTGATTAAGTGGTTCAATGCTTGATAGCTGAATTTTCCAACTTTGGCTACACTTGAAATTGATACCATGGAGGATGGAGAGGAATGAACGGTTGAATACGCCGAAACAAAATATATTCAAACATCGGCTCGTTACTTATGTAACAGAGTTAAAGTTCAGTTTTGTTTGGCTCCATTATTCTCTAATTGAGCGTATAATATTCAGGAGAGCGAAAAAACAACAACACCAGAGAACGAGGGAGCATGAGAGCGTGAGAGAGAGAGAGAGAGAGAGAGAGAGAGAATAATTTTATTGGAACGCTGAACGCATATAGAATCGAAATGGATACAAAGTGGTGTGCTGAAAGGTGCTCGCACTCACCAAAACGCGGATGTGTGAAAAGCATACGCACCAGCACGTTTCATATGCTGTTAATAAATCACACAATTGACTTACCTGTAGCTGAAAATGCGCGCGTGAACAGAAGCGTGTAATTAATTAATTTAATGTATTGATAATATCCTTTATTAAATATGTATTCGTGTTATTCGTAATCCATTCAAACATACCAGCATTTAATTGGTTGATTGATGCCTTCCCTCTTTATTCAATGCTCCCACTCTCTCACTCTATCTCCCTGTGTGCGAGAGTGTGTATGCGTATATTTGGCGTATTACGCTTGCCATGCCTTGATTTAATTTGCGGCTGACAATTCGCTTTTGCCCCATCACCTTAAACAAGTTCCCATAAGTTGCATCAGAATTTGCGATCTGTTTACAACAAAAAAAAAACAAAACAACAACAACCAGAACAATACGAACAGCAAAATGTGTAATGATTTAAACTTTTATTTCGACGACAAAGCAGAAAAAAGTATACAAACGAACCTACACATGCACACACTTTGTGTCTCCGTTGACTTTTCTCCCGAATAAATTTTCAATTGTCGAAAAGTGACAATGAAAATATGGTTAATTCTTTATGCGCGTTTTTTTTGCCACTGCTGCTGCTGCTGATGTAGATCGCATGAAAAAGTTTTTCACCCTTGTTTAATGTATTTTGGTTATTGGTGCATATTACCATGGGTTGTGAATATAAACCATATATGCATTTTTTTTCACTCATACCGTTGTGCCAATGCCAATGACACCGACATAAAAAAATCCATTTTTTTTGAGTTGATATTTTCTACCTTTTAGCCTCAACGATCCTATTGAATTTTGAAACTTATGCTTTTGTCTGAAGATTTAATTTTACTGCACGTTCCCATATTTAAGTTGGCCGTCCAATATTTATTTTCTAATATGTCATGTGGTTTCTGGATGACTTCCATTCCCTTTGCACTTTATGATATGAGTTTTTTTTTCTCGTTTATTCGCCATGAATCAAAGGCAAACAAAGTTTTCCGGTTGCGAACGAGGAAAAAAATGTTGCCGCAGCCAGTGACATTTTTTAACATCATTATATCATCTTTTGCCGAGCCAGTTGCATTGTTGTTATACATGAATAAGTTTTAGGACTCAGTCAATTTGATTACCCATCATTTTTTTCCTTCCTCTCCCCCGGTCATCAGGCATTTTGTCTATCTTTTTTCGTTTCGAATGCATTGCAACCGCAAAACGTTACGCTTATTTCTTCATACACCTTTGGGCCATTACCGTACATATGAAAATCTCAATTGCATTCGCCGTAAAATTTAATTGCTACCAAAGTTTTGGACTACTTCCAATGCACATCTCTGAATGCTTTTATGTATCGCAATGGATACATTAGTTGTCGTACACTTTTTTTAATTCTTCCAAAGGATGAAAAAAAGCCTAACTTTTTTTTTCAGCAAACAATTAAATAAAGCGATTTTATGCTTTGACTTCTGCAAACGTCGACAGCGAAATTATTTAGAAAAAAAAAATGGTTTTAGCGATTCGAGTGCAAATTCTGAAGTTCAGAGACACAAATTCTGGCATATGAAGCAATCCAAAGAAAAAGTGTTCTGGAACCGTTTAAATTTGTCACGGTTTTTGTAATATGAAATTTACATTCTGTCACTCACCCAGCACTATTATTGAACAGAAGTAGAAAATTTGCTGCCTTTTTTTCGAAAGGAGAATAAAAATTCTTGAGCGAAAATCAACCGGACATGTAATGATCGATTTGACACGACTGTGTGGAAAATATGTGAACATTACGACCAAGGCGAGTGGCCAGTTTTTTTGTTTGTTCATTATTGCATCAGCCTTTCCGAAGAATTCGATCGGGATTACGTTTTATTCTACAAATATGCGTAACTTTAACCGAAAGCAATTGAATGCTTAATATTAATGAATTTTGTGGAATGAGTTTTGAATTTACATAACGCCATCAATAATAATTAATTAAAATGCATATGTTTCCCAATGAATTTCGTATGGTTTTATTGATGAACGGGGAAACAATTGCATTTGAAATCTTACTGGCGCACGTACCTATGTGTCGCAACAATGCAACACATACACGCAATGTAGGTGTGTGAGTGTGTAGTTCTCTGCTTCATTTTCAATGTTCATGTGTAAAATAATAAAGCAATAATATGCTTACCGATTCGATGGCACGTACGCATCTACATCAAAACCAATAGGGTTTTATCGGAGAGAAAAAAAAATGTATCTCTCTCTCTCTCTTTCTCTCTGCGTGTGTATGTGTGCGTTGTTGTGTTTTTTTTCCTGTGAATCTGTGCCCCATTTCAACCACGCATCGTCTCTTATTCAACATTCATCGAGTAAGTGCACCACGTACGCAATGCCATCGTGTTTATTATGTATGCTCGTATTAATATGATTTTGGATGTTACAGTGATGACATCGCTGATGACACACGGCAAAAATAAATGGATTGTGTGTGTGTGTGTGTGTATGGATTAATAAACTGGATCAACATTGCATTGGCTTTAAAACAATTCGATTCAAATCAGCATAAACTAATTTCATTTGAATTTGTAATTTTCATTCGTCCAACAACACAATATTTGATTTTTGGGGTAAGAAGTCGAATATATCGAAAATCATTCGAACAATTTTAAATTTATTCGCCGAATTTAGATATTATTTTGACGATGAAAATCGACTTCGGATGCTTTGCTCCGATATGTTTGAATGTTTGAACTTGAAATCATTCGATCTTCTTTAGTGCGTCAACCAAATGCCCATGAACAAAAATCAAATTCGCCGGTCTATCTGTTCATCAACTTAGAAAATGTCAACAAAAATTTAATTTGTATTGTGTTTGTCGATTATTAAAACATCATTTTTTCCGGTTTGTATGAACAACTCAGAAACCGGGTGTTTGCACCTATTCTCATCGCTCCCATATTTTATTGGAACAAACCAAAAGCCAACATTCAATAATCAATTAATAAGCGAGTTGGAAATAACAATTAATTAACGGAAATCACAAGCGGAAATGGATGTGAATTGTTCCAGTGTGTGACGGTTTGCGGTGAGGTGTATGTGTGTTCAAAAGTTTCATACACAAAGAGCGAGCGAGTGAGAGAGAGAGAGAGAGAGAGAGAGAGAGCCAGAGAGTTGAATGCCTCAAATTCAAGTATTTTAAACTAATTAATTTAGTTCGCGGTTGATATGAACAATGACTTGGCACCTAGCAATCGGTAAGTCGGTCGATCGAAAAGGTGTTACCTCACAGATAAGACAGAATTAATCCATAATTAAAATGATAGCGAATTCAATAGGCATCGAATTCGAACGCTCACACACACGCACACACACACACACAAACAAGTAATCAGTTCATCATGATGAGTTCAATTTGTCTGTGTTCTAGCAATCTGATCTGCTTTTGACTAGGGGCCTCACGCCAATTTCCATTTTTAAAATATGAACAAATAATATGAATTTGTTTATGTTTCAACATATTAAACAGATATGTATGCATAATTTCAATTTTGCTCAATTTTGTTCAATAAACCGACTGTCAGCAGAACCACGTCTAATCCGTTGACGTCATTATCGCTTCAAAAATTCTGGAAGTAGGTTTTGGTGGATACTCGGGATTGTTCAAAACCGATCCTGGTTCTGGAAGTGGATCCAGGGCATTGTCAAACCCAGTCTGTTCCATCCTGAAGATCCACCAAAACCCACTTCCAGAACATATTGTTCAAGGTGAATATGAAAAAATAACAACGCATTCGGGCAATAATACAAAATATTTGAAATCTAGCGTGAATTTTACATGATTTAAATAATATAAATAGATTTTACTAAAAAAAATTTGGCGTGAAGCCCCTAGGCTTTTGATGTCACAAAAAGGGCAAAATAATGTGGTCTAAAAAGGTAAGAGCAGAGAAACTTTCTCGGACATATTCCGAATGATAGCTTTTGAACATCACAAATAAGTTGAAAGCAATAGATTCTCCAAGGAAAACTCCTTCCCCCTCAATTTTCTCAAGTTTGCAAGCGAATTGTGTGAATACCAAACGACAACCGTTATCGTCATTCCATTGAAAATTTTGTACTATGATGAAGTGGGCGGTAGAGAGTCAAGTTTCACACAATCAAACATCCATAAAGTTCCATTCAAAAAATAAACCATGCATAAAAATAACAACTTAAAAAATAACAAAACAACAATTGGGAACAAAAAAATGGGAAGTTATAGAATTTGGAATATTGCTCTGTTTCTATCGCAGTGTATTTGGCTTGGTCGTTTTATTCGAAAAATGGCAAACCAAAAGACAATCCAAATGGAATGAGCCAAGATCGATTGGGGTGGGTATGAAAGTCAGAAGAAAAACAAACGGCACAAATCGCCACCAAACAGAGCGAATGACAAAGAATCGAGACGAATGGATGTGTTTTGCTGGAAATATGAATAAAAAATATATGCAAAATGATACAGCGATAGATATCGTATACTAACGGATTAAAA